AAATAACTATATTATTTCCACAATAAAATGGTTTCCATAATACTATTTCACCATTTAAATCTTTTCTTCTCGAAAATATACGCTTGGCATGTTAATTATTTGTTTCCAACCACAGCTAAAAATCAAATTGATAGGCCGTAAGCCTACTGTACATATAAGCACACCCTATTCTTTTGAGGGGAAATCATGTACTCGTAGAGGGCGATACATCGTTTATACTATCTGTCTAAGACTAAATTGCGTTATTTATTTAGCTCACGCTTTGGTATTATATCAATTTCTCAATTCAGTGTTCTTTGTTAATTAATCAAGTTATAATATAATCATTTAAAAAATAACAGTTACATGATTAGGTACTTTATGTAAGTTTTGTTGAGGCAATCATCATCATCATCATCTTCGTGCTACAGCCCTTAGAGGGCCTCGACCTTCTCAAGATTTCTACGCCATTCTGTTCTGTCCCTTGCTTGCATTTTCCAGTTGCCGACTCCGATCTTCTCCGCATCTTGTGTTACCCCATCCATCCACCTCAGCTTTGGTCTACCCCGTCTTCTCATTTCCACGGGTTGCGCTGTTAAAATCTTCTTTATCATGTTCGATTCAGGGGCCCGGGCTTCATGCCCTGCCCATTGCAGGCGGTTTCGCTTAATTATAGTGGTAATCTCTTTACCACCAAACGTATGGTTGTAGATATTCTGCAGTTCAAAGTTATATCTACGCCTCCATATTCCGTTCTCACAGACCGCTCCGAATATCTTGCGTAGCACCTTTCTTTCAAAAATGGATAGAGCGGATTCATCTGTTTTGCGTTAGCGTCCATGCCTCTGATCCATATGTGAGAACGGGGACTATCAGTGTTCTATACAGCCTTATACGAGTTTTTTGAGACATACGTTTATTAGCAAAGTACTTTGATAGACCATGATAACACCTGTTTGCAATTATTATTATTCGCCTTTTTATTTCCTCAGATGTGTTATTATTGGGGTTAACCGATATCCCTAGATATATGAACTCTTTGACTTCTTCAAAGTTTTGGTCATTGATGATTAAATTTGTGTCAACATTTCCAGCTCTTGTGTTTGTGTTAGTCGCCATGAATTTGGTTTTATTTTGATTTATATGTAACCCCATTCGTTCTGCTGCTGCTACTAGCTACGTTAGGATTTCCACAGTTCTCGCCCTAGTTCGTGTTATAATGTCCACGTCATCTGCATATGCTAGAATTTGGACTGGTCTATTAAATATTATTCCCCTGCTATCTAAATTAGCGTCTCGTACAACTTTTTCTAAGGCGACATTTAAAAGCTGACACGCCAGCGCATCTCCTTGCTTTAACCTCCCTATGTATTTAAAATGGGGTTGACGAGTCGTTTTGAATTTTTACTGCTGATAGCATCTTCGCCATTGTCACTTTTATCAAACATATGAGTTTTTTTGGAATTCCTAACTCATTCATAGCGTTGTAAAGACTTGGTCTTAAGACACTGTCATATGCCGCTTTAAAATCGACAAAAATATGATATATATCTATGTTAAACTCTTGTGCTTTTTCGAAGATCTGTCGTAGTGTAAAGATCTGGTTAATGGTTGAACGTCTACCCCTGAATCCTTCCTGATATTCTCCTAGAAACATTTCAGTATAAGGCTTTAATCTCTCGTGCAAAATATTTGACAATATCTTGTATGCCGTATTTGGAGAGTTATTCCGCGGTAATTATTGCATTCCAGTTGGTTTCCCTTTTTGTGTAACGGGAAAATTAAGCCTAAGCTCCATTCTTCAGGCATTTGCTCCTCAGACCAAATTCTACAAACAATTTCTCGCATCACCTTGGTGAGCTACTCTCCACCGTGCTTAAGTAACTCTGCTGGGATGCCATCGCTACCTGGGGACCTATGGTTCCTTAGTTTTTCTATAGATATTTTCACTTTATCTACCGAGGGAGGGTTCCACGAGTTTCTCATTTCGGTATTCCAGCTCTATATTGTTAGTAGGTTCCCCTTCCAGCAGCTCTCGAAAGTGCTCTACCCATCGTAAAAGGATATCCTCTTTGTCGGTAAGTAAGTTATCTTCCTTATCATTACAATAGTTGATTCTTGGTTTGAATTCTTTTCTAATAATATTTATTTGATGATAGAACTTTCTTGTTTCTCCGTGACTCATATGGCTTTCGAGCCGTTCTAATATGTCATTTTCCGAGTCTCGTTTCTTTTTTCGGTGTATGCGTTTTTCCTCTCTCCTTGAGTTTTTGTATCTATTGTTATATTTTTATAGTTCTAATTTATTGTCTTTATTCTAATTTATTAAAACTCACGATAAATTATTATCAATTTATTAAATAACTGTACGACTATTTATTACGTTCGTACATTTAAATACGCGGGCCCGAATTTATCTTCTTACTACCTGCTCAATGAAAATCCCCCGTATTTATATCCACACGCTAGACTAGAAACATCTGGTCCCCATTAGAATGGGACCCCATCGATTCGACGGGTATTGCGGTGAAGATACTAGAAGGCGATTCGACGGCTGAAACTAGTTTTTCAACTGCTTGAAAAACCTCGAGTCGTGGATGACTCATCAAAATTGGGGTCTAGCGGTTTCCGTAAACAACCGTCGAAATGACTGGAACAAAAACAGAATTATTCATAATATATTTACAGCTTTAAACGCCATATCGTAACCCTATCTATTGTTGTTCTAGTTTTTCGTTGTTGCATGGTCCTAAATGCCTCGTTCTTCTCATCTGTTATTTTTTGCAGTCTTGGTCGAACCAGTCGCTTTCTTTCTTGGGTTCGGGATATTCCTAATGTGCTTTCGGCTGCTAATTTCACAGCCTCCTTGCAGTTGTTCCACGTTTCCGTGCTTGACTGGTCGACTTATTGTTGTCGAATTGTTGAGGCAATATTAATTTTAATTCTACAATAAACGGTAGTGGATTTAAAGTGAGTGTACCCATGTATCTAGTATCTGGTATTTTAGAAGGAATGATGTAACAGAAACTTTGTGACAGTTGAAATAACGTATGTGGTAGTTGAAAAATTGCCATATTGCTATATATATATATATATATATATATATATATATATATATATATATATATATATATATATTATATATATATATATATAGTTGGGTATATGACAAGGTGGTATTTCTTTAAATATAATTTTCGAAATAAACCATCAACTATAAAATAAATTATTTGTAACTTGACGTTCCAAGTGCCAGATCGGACACTTAAAAGGATGGGATTTCACTTAAAAGGAAATAATTAAAAATTAAATATCTATAATCAAAATAGGTTTTTAGAATAAAAAAAATTTATTTTCGTCATATAGATTGCCTGACATATATCTTAATAATTTTTTTGTAATGAATTGTTATTAAAAAGTATCACTGTTTATTATGGTACAACAAAGTGTAAGACCCTCCTCCTTTCGGATTTGGTCCTCCAATGTTGGGCATCAACCTTCCCAACGCAGCCGCACTATTCGCAGCCTTCCGGACTACCTCCCGCACGTGTTCACCACATTTTCCATTCTGGTGCAGTGTCACTCCTAGGTACTTTACTTGTTTCTTTGGTGTTAGACATGCTCCCGCACATTGTAATTCAATACTTAGCCTGGTCCTTTTCTCCTTTAGCATGATGACTTCGGTTTTCTCTGCCGCAAGTTTCAGTCCGTGCTGCGTCAACCATTTCTTTACGACGCGGCCTATGTTCCGAACCCGGTATTTGAGATCTGGCTCATCCCATGCCACTACCATATAGTGAGGTCATCCGCGAATGCGAAGGGGGTTGTACCCTCTCTGTATTCACAGTGCATAACCCCGTCATATGCCAGGTTCCATAGCGTCAGACCCAAGACAGATCCCTGGGGTAACCCGACCTCAGCCACGATCGTGCTCTTTCACCATATTATTCTCGGACAGATACTCCGCCACCACATTCATCAGGTAACCAGGACATTCTCTCTCCTCCATTGTCTTTATTGTCTCGTTTTACTGAGCGTATTGAAATGCACTCTTAACATCAAACGACAGCAGGGCAGCCTAGCGATGTTCATCCCCTCTGTTGCGCAATGCTTCGAGTACACTCATGATTGCATCAATCGTGCTTTTTCCTTTACAAAAACCAAATTGCCTCAGAGATAAACCACCTGACCTCTCAATCATGTCGTCTATGCGTACTCGCAGCATCCTTTCATACAGCTTACTGTTGCATGGAAGAAGACAGATGGGACGATACTTTTCCCTAGCCTTGAGGAGCAGTATTAATCTCGATATCCTTCAAGGCTCACATACAGTCCTCAATTAGCGGCTGGCTTCGAGCCCAGGAATTACCCAGCGTTTCACCCTGAGTCCTTTATTTTTTTACCAAGACAGCCAAACGTCACCTTTAGTTTCCTACTTTTAGTCTCTTGGAGATGTTTGAATTTAGAGCATGCTACAGCCTTAACAGCTTTTCACTCTGCATTTTTCTCACAAAAATCCTATTTAATATTAAATAAATCTTCATATTTCTTGGACATATCATCATTCTTTTACTAATTTAACTTCCGCAGACGATGTTCGGATAGTTTTTGGACATCACTGTTGTGCCGATCCCCATTGAAGTAGTTTCGTAACTTCCACCATCACAATATTTTGAGAAAGAAGTTTCAGGTTAACATTTTGTACCTTAAAAATATGGAAAACGTCATTTTGACCTGTTAGATTTAAAAATTGAAAATAAAACGTGTGAATTGTATATACAATGAGGGTGTTAGTACAAATCATACGATATAATTAATTTGTCAAAAGAAAACAAAATAATTTAATTTTAAAATTTATTTTTGAACAGGCTGTAGGTCTGGAAGTCCAACGTCAAATATAGATATTATTTTACACTTATGGTTTATTTTTAAAAGTATATTTGCACAAATTGAGATATCAAAAAGAAACAGCTTTTGAACAATATTAAAAATGGTACCTAAAATATAAATTCGTCATTCAGGTACAATTGTCTCAAGAGTGTGCTTCAGAGCTCCTTTGTTCATTCTTTTCAACGTCTGAAAAAATCGTGGAGACGAATAAAATTCCTATTAAGGTACAACTTTCAGAAACTGAAGAGATCAAAAGAATAAGTACATCTGAACTTCAAAGACTGATCCTTCTGGAAAAATTAGAGGTACTTGAACTTAAAAAACGGATTTTATTGAAGAAGTTGGAAAAGTATAACTAATTTTTTATTTTTTGAAGGTAGGCATATACAGCAATCATCTTTGTTTTGTTCATTTTTTTTATTTGCATATGTCTTCGAGGAATTTCTTGTCCTCTAGCTCAAAATTTGGGTCGTTATAAATCTATGCGTCGATGCTTGCCCGTTAGATTCTTCTATCAGTATATTTAAAAATTCAAATCATTTCAGTGTTTCTGTTGCCATGAGTATTTAACTAGGCTACTGCACATTCACGCTTTCAATCATTGCACCATTCCGCAGAAAAACGGCGATGTTTCTCCTATTATTCACTAATATTAATCCACGTCTAAGAGATTATTATCTCCCCAATAATATTCATTCGTCAATACCGTATGGTTATTTTCACGAGCTTATTCACGGTATATCTTGTTTCTTTTTCAACATGTTATTTGAATAACAACGTTATTGACAAAACGTTTACTGTTTCAACTGCCTTTCTTAATAACACCACAAGGATTTTGAATAGTCTTCGCCACTAAATATCTTTCTCTTAGTTCTATTATATTATAATGCTATATGAATCCTTCCATATGAGTCAATTTTTTCAGTTATCGGAACAAAAAGAAAATAGCTAAAAAAACTTTCTTTATTCTGGGTAGTGCCGCAAAAAATGTTTTTTGTTGACATTTAGAACCACACAAAAATCGTTATGCCCAATTCTCGTGAATATTCATTTTTTCAATTCAGTTATTTTCAGTTATAGTCCTACCAGAGATCTTATATCGATAAGTGTCTACCGCAAAGCAGCGGGGATCGCCTCTGGACAGGATCATACTTTTATTTTCGATTTGCATTACTTATTCGATTGTTAGGTGAATTTACAGCCAGTCTTTATCATTGTCTACTAAAGATATAATTGGAGCAAAAATATTTACATACACTAAATTCACATATTTACAAAACTTTATCATTTCTAAATAGAGTACAAAAAGAACAGAGGCAAAAATATTTTAGAAAATTATTTTGAAAATTGAGATGTGTCTAAAAGCTGGTTTTATACCGTTATCAACTGAATTTAAAAATATTTACATAAATTACGTATACATGGACAGTTTACTGTTTATAAATACAATTTAAAAAGTACTTACATAAAATAGATGGACAAGTCAGTTTCACTATCACTGTCGTTATCTAGATCTATAATAATTGTTTTTTTGAGTAACCTATCTGTATTCATATAAGATCTTTTCATCTTTATAACATGGGCAACACTATTTTTCCAGCTGTTTGGCTATTTTCTCCATTTCTAATTTAATTAAACAAACTACAGATGAATTTAGGGAGGGCGAAACCTTACTTCTCCTTAACAATGCTTTTAGTCCATGTCATATGTATTCAATCGGATTGAACATGCAATAGTAAGGAGGAAGCCTTAATACTGTATGACCCATTTCTTTCGCCAAACTGTCACAACAACATTTTCTTTCTGATGAAAAATGATTTTAAAGTTTCAAGTTATTGCTTTTTAAAATAATTATCTTCATAATATATATCATTTTCCAATTCCTGGATTCTAAGTTTGGTGTTATTAGAGCCTGAAACTTTATTCAGCCTACGACTGTGATTGCTGGCATTGCCCATCTTGATTACACTGTGTGGTGATATATATATTTGGCAATAACTACGTTGAAAACCAGTTTTCAAATAATTCTGACGTGGTGTCATCATAATAGTCGACACGGGAGTCCTTAATATTTTTGCATGACAAGGCTAAAGCATTAGGTATAAAACCATGTTTTTCCTGTATGGATTATTGTAATACGTTTATTTTAATTTGATGAAGCTTGTGTTGTACAGCGACCAGAAGAATCTGACCAACCATATTTTGAAACGCCATGGGCGTCAAACCACGTATCATCCAGATAAACAATTTCTCTTCCACTTTCTGTGTATTTATGAATTTGAATTAAAAAATCCGTTCTCCATATTTGTAGGTAGACTATATAGACTATATACTTGTATGCATAAATGAGCGTTTTCGAAATGCCGTCAAAAAAGTCACTACATTTTCTGGGTAGATATTGGATCTGATCATCAACCACTTGTAGCAGATATTAAACTAAGGTTAAAACGAATTTGGCGGCAAAAACCAAAAACCAATGTACTTATCTTTGACGATATAATCATAAAACATAACATAAAAAAGAATTCAAGAATAGAACAAAAAACATCGGGGAACAACTAGAAGATCTAGAAGAACTATTGAGTGAATTTAAAAACTAAGTCGAATCCATCTTTAAAAACCATCTTGAAATTTATGGAACAACGTCGACTGATAAAATCTAATGAAACAGAATATAGACACCTGCAGAGAAGAATAAAAAAGGAGATCACACTAGCCAAAGAAAAATGGATGAGAGAAAGGTGCGACGAAATGGTGGATGTAATATCTAAACACGACTTATTTAATGTGCACAAAAAAATAAAAGAAATGAGTAAGATATTTAAAAAAACGAGTTCCCTCTGTACTCGTTGACAATAATAATAAAATTATTGTAAATGAGCACGGAATAAGAAAATAATGGCAGCTGTATATATCAAAGTTGTTTGAAGATGACAGGAATAATATTGCTAAATTCTACCAAAACTGTACTGACGGCCCAGAATTATGAAATGCGAGATAGAACACGCTATAAATAATGCTAAAATAAGAAAATCTTGTGATTCAAATGATACACCAACTGACTTGCTGATACTAATAGAGGATGATAAAATAAAAGTAGTAGTAAGACTTTTTAATTGAATATATAACACCGGAGTGATTCCCACAGATTGGCTCAAATCCATCTTTGTCGCAATACCTAAAAAACACAATGCGAGAAAATGCTCAGAATATCGATTAATTAGCCTGATGAAAATTGATGATTAAAATTTTCCTAAGAATATTTCACAACAGAACTAGACGGAAACTCGAAGATACCCAATTTGGTTTTAGAGATGCTATTGGAACCAGGGAGGCACTTTTTGCGCCTAACATCCTCTTACAAAAATGCCGTGACCAAAAAAAAGGTGTATTTGCATATTTTGTGGACTTCGAAAAGGCATTCGGTAATGTACAGCATATAAAATTAATGCAAATACTGAAAAATATCGGAATAAATGACAAGGATATTCGTGTCATTAAAAATTTGTACTGAAGTAAAAATTGGAGATAACTACACCAATGAAATCTCCATACCACGAGGAGTCAGATAATGTTGCATTTTGTCGCCAATATTGTTCAATGTTTACTCGGACCAGTTATTTAAAAAGGCAGAGACACAACCATATGGAATAAAAATCAACAGGGAACTACTTAATGTGATTTTATTTATTTATTTAGCCTATGGATAATTACAATACGATAAAAGTAATATTTAGATAATAATTATGTTCAAATTGGAATTGTAACCTAAGTTAAATATTAAATATAAATGTCCAAATTGCACAGCCATTCAATTGCACCAGGAGAAACACTCTGCAAAATCTTGAAGGTCTCCGCTGTATCTGCGGATTGGGCAATCCGCAATGAAGTGTTGGATGGTCTGTCTTGGGGATCCACAATCACATTGTGGGCTTTCTGCATGACCCCATCGGTGTAGAGAATCGGCACATTTGCCATGACCCGTGCGTATGCGATTTAATTTTGTCCATATAGGGCGTGGCAGGTTTGATCCAGTGAAGCCGATCGACGTACTTGTTATTTTGATGACGTCTGGCTCTGTTGTTGGCGTCCATCTTTTCGTCCACTGCTCTTGCTTATTGTAGCTATCACCCATTCCCTGAACGGAATGGACAGGGGGTCGTCTGGACTTCAGTCTTTGTTGGTCTCGTGCGGCGTGCGGAATATACTGGTGAATTGGCAGACGATTATTTGCCATGATTTTCTGATATTCTCTGACAAGTGCTGCCGTTTGTCGAATATCTGGAGGTGCTATATTGCTCAGAATTGGAAGCCATCTTAGTGGAGTTGATTTAATAGTACCCAGATATTACTCTCATAGTGTAATTTAGTTGAACATCAATCTTGTTGACATGAGCGCTATTTAGCCATACCGGTGCGCAGTATTCAGCGACAGAATACACCAGGGCCAGTGAGGAGGTTCAAAGTGTATCCGCAGTGGCACCTCATGTCGTTCCAGCAAGCTTTGTTATTATGTTGTTACGGTTTCTCACTTTGACAGCCACATTCGTAAGATGGATTTTGAACGTCAGTGATCTGTCGAGCGTTACACCCAGGTATTTAGGGTTGTTATTATGTTTCAAAGTCTCGCCATTGAAAGTGATGCTAAGGGTGTCATTCGAAAGCTGATTTGTGAGATGGAAGAGGCTTGTCTCAGTTTTGTTTGTATTAGAGCGAAGTCGCCATTGTTTAAAGTAGTCGCAGAGAACCCTTAAGTCTTCGGTAAGCGCCCTTTCTCCAACATCTTTGGCTTGGTTTTGAAATGCGATAGCCAGGTCATCTGCGTAAGCAAATTTTTTTGATTTTGTCTCTGGAAGATCGGCTGTGTAAATGTTAAACAATAGTGGAGCAAGCACTGAACCCTGTGGGAGGCCATTATTTAGCTTTCTGACATTGCTCTTTGTATCGTTTATATATACTTGAAACAGTCTGTTGGTTAGGAGGTTATTGATTAGTTGGCAGGTTTTCAGGCATGGTATGACCTTCATTAGCTTGTAGATCAGGCCTTCTCTCCACACAGTGTCATATGCAGCCGTCAGATCTATAAACGTTACGGCTGTTTTTTTTCCCGTTTTTCGAAACCGGCTTCAATAAATGTCGTTAAGGACAGTACTTGATCACTACAGCTACGCCCACTTCTAAATCCGGCCTGTTCGACTGGTATCACAGTGTCGGTGATGGGGTATATCCTGTTATATATAAGTCGCTCTAGTAGTTTGTAGCAGCAACTGAGGAGGGCAATGGGTCGATAGTTTTCGGGTAGTTTACCGTCCTTTCCAGGTTTTAAAATTGGAATAACTTTGGTTCTTTTGAACTCTGG